AGGATCTGCGGAAAGAGTACCCGCAGCCTAAAGATTGGCCCACCTTTGACGGTGAAGGAGAGTACAACTGTTAAGATATTCTATCTTACTTAGGTGGTCAAAGATCAATTTCCTAATTGGGATAGTAGTGAACAGGTTGGAGTGAAGGTTGTAGTATGTGTATTGGTATTTTGTGCTGAGAAGAAATGGTCATGCGGCAACGTTAGTGTGTAATTTGGACAAAAGGGGTTAGCTGTTGGAACTGAATCAAGGGGTGGTTGAAAATTTTCTTTTGGGATATCTCTTCACTCTTGTAGTTTCCTTTCCCCCCTCTTTTCGGATTCTTTTTGTGTCAAAAAGAATCAGTGAGTTTTTCATCCATCTTTATTCTCACGATTATTTCTCTACTCTATTTTTACTAATACTTTCTTTTCATATTAGAATTTTTATTTCATTTTGTTGACTTGTTCTAGAAACAACCTCCTCTTACGCGTGCTCTTCGAATCCCTTTCGAGCTTGCAGGTAGAAAAGCTTTTCCTTGATCTTTTACTTAGATGTAACTTTTCTCTAATCTCGTTTCCTTATTTTTTCTTTTGTGGTGGTCTTGTTTGCTGTGTTAGGTTAGTCATTGTTCTCGACGAAGACCTAGCAGTTGAGCTATAGTCTTACGAGGAACCTGTGCCCTCAGGTTAGTTGCTGGTGTCGAAAAGAATCAAATTTTTATTTCATTTTGTTAACTTGTTCTAGAAACAACCTCCTCTTACGCGTGCTCTTCGAATCCCTTTCGAGCTCGCAGGTTAGTCATTGTTCTCGACGAAGACCTAGCAGTTGAGCTATAGTCTTACGAGGAACCTGTGCCCTCAGGTTAGTCATTGTTCTCGACGAAGACCTAGCAGTTGAGCTATAGTCTTACGAGGAACCTGTGCCCTCAGGTTAGTCATTGTTCTCGACGAAGACCTAGCAGTTGAGCTATAGTCTTACGAGGAACCTGTGCCCTCAGGATTTCCGTTTTCGCACTATAGGCTCTTCTTTGTAGATACGTCTATTAAAAATCCTCAGGATTTTTGATAAGTCTTTTCGTCGAGAAAATTACATGGTAGCGAGAGTGTATACGATCTAGTCGACCCGTTTAATGCTTGTATGAGTTCCGAAAACGTCGATTCTTCCATTGAAGACACTCAGGACAACTCTACTGTTACCAAAGGCTCAAGCACCTCCAGTACCACCAATTCCTTTGGAACGGTTCACCAGGATTTAACGAATCCATTGTCTTCAGACGTTCTTTCAGGTCCTTCAAATACAAAGGATTCTGTGTCTTTCAAAATGACTGACCAAACCGAATCCCGTGTTTTCGGTGATCAGATTCAAAAATATTCACAAATCATGAATAATGCCTTGAGCAAATACAAAGTTTCAGACGACTTGAATGAAGAGAACTACATCGAGTGGAGTCAATCCCTGATGGAAGTGTTCCGTTCTCTGGAACTTCATCATTATGTCAAAATCGAAAATTATCGAAACCCTTCTCTGTCTGAACCTGAACATGAGAAGACTCTTTTTAACTTAACCACCTACATTCTTCATCGTTTGGATACCGTCAATAGTGTCAGAACAAGAAATCATCTTACGGACCCTAATGATGCTTGCGAAATCATCTACGACCCTTATCGGTGCTGGTTGTTTCTTAAACTGTATCATAATCGTGTCTCCGAAGACAAACTTGAAGCAGTCACCCGGACACTGTATGCTTGTCAAATCTCGAAGACGGAATCGCTTTCAACCTTTGTCGACAAATTCGAAAATCTAGTTCGAGAATTTTACCGACTTAAAGGAGAACTCTCTGACATTCAGTCAGCACGAATGCTCATCGGTGCTATTCCTTCTTTGTCTATCGAGACGAAAGAATACATTCACAACACGGTAGTTCCCTTAACCCGTGAAGGGGTAGGAAGTTATCTACGCAAGTACGAAGAGCGTCATGGTTGGACCTGCGCTGCTATCAGGGAGGTCAATGCTGTTTCTGTTCGTCCTACGAAGAAAACCTCAGGAGAGTGTACTCCGGACGAATGTTTTGGTCCTCACCTTTCAAAGAATTGTTGGTCAAAACCCAAAAACGCGGAGAAACGACTTGCATTCTTATCCAAGATTCGTGCCAAAAGTGGAAGTGGTGCCTCAAATTTAAATTCAAATTCAGTTCTGCTCATAGCTCTCAACCTACTTCAGTTAAAGGGGTTAAGAAAGTTTTTGACTCAAGCGTAAACGCAGCTTCGGCTAGTATGGCCTTCTTATCACTCAATGTTGAATTTGATGAGGACGTAACCGAAGACATCCAAGTCAAAAGTAGCTCAGCTTGTCCTTCCGAATTTGAGGAAGATCCGATAATTAGTGCTTCTGTTTCGGCTGCTCTTACTTCTTCTCGGGACTGGGCCCTACACGACACGGGAGCCACACATCATTTATTCAAGGACAAGAAATTTTTTGATCTGTCCTCTCTGATCAAAATAGATGACGCTAGTAAGCGCCTCAAGCTTGCGGGAGGAGATATGTCATTAGCTGTACACAGCCGAGGTGTTGCGAAATTACTTGCCGGAGATGATACACCATTTGAACTCAAGAATAGTCTCTACGTACCTGATTTGTCTCGTAATCTTATCGCTGGTGGTTTATTGAAGAGCACTCCAGTAAAATTAGCGCGT